ATGCAGAGGCATTCAATGTATTTCACTGAACCTGGGGGGTATTTTTAACAGGTACTTTTATACATTTAGATATAAACATCTGTGTCTGCATGCGTGTGGATCAGCTGAAATATTCCTGAGCAAGTATAGTATAATAATCACCTTGGACAGTGATTCTTTAAGTGACTTTCAAGTGACCATTCGCAACACCGGTGCAGCAACAGGCTTACAGGCAGCCTGAACATCAAGCAACTTTGTTGCATTTCTATCTGCACTAGTATCCTCCTGAGTTGGTTTGGTTGTTAGCTAAGAAGGAGAGTCAAACTCTTAGCCGAGGGTACAAAAAGCTACCAAATAGAACATAGAACAAAAACGGTTCTTTTCCTCAAGAACCTGTAGAATGCACTTGTCTGGTAATGCCTGGTAGTGCTGCTGGTAAACGAAACTGATCTATGGAAACACTGGCCTTAAGGAAACTAGTTCTCCAGGTAAAGTCAAATGAAGACTGCAATAAAAGTGGGTCTGTGGCCAATCTCTTCCCAGCAGCAGCTGTACTTCAGCTTCTCTGGAACACAAGGCCCTTTACTGCAACCTGCGCTATAGACAATGCAGGAGAGAAGTACATGGTGACAGACTCCTGTCAGTCAAGGATTGTACAGGGCAGTGTTCCTCCCTGTCAGAGGGCCCTTACCTGTGCCTGGAAATATACATTATAGGCACTCCAGGGATTTTTCTTATTCTCCGCTTGAGCTCCTTATCCACTGTGGCCACAATGTAACATTTGTGCTGGAAAAAAAAAAAAAGCAAGTCAGATTCTACCCTCTTGAACCCACAAAAAGGAGATGTGGCTGAGCAAACACTTCTACTCACTGAGCTCACTGAACACAAGAAGGCTAAGAGTCCTTACCAAGGCATTACTTGGATTTGTACAGGATTCTGCACCAGATTAGTAACATCCTTCTGCTCATCAAAACAGACTCACAGAAACCTCTGAAAGTCTGTCCAGCCTTCCAAGCTGACAGCTTTCCCATTGCAAGTGCTTCTTGATGCAACAAGAACGTTCAGGAAAGACAATACTTTGTGTCAAATAAAGTTGTGCTAGGGACTGAAACTGCCCCCTAGTGAGATTTTATATTTACTTTGTGGGAAATTTAAGCCATCAGTAATTAGGAGGGTTCAGGAATTTTTAGCATGTTAGCACAGCATAGAAAATGTCAGAAAGGGAAATACCTGAGTGACTCTTTGTACCAAGCAGTCATCTGCATAGGTTCCTTTGTGCATACATGGCAGGCGTTCAAACCGAGGGTCCTTGGCAATCCTGTGGGGACACATAAGGCAGCATCACAGCAATCAGACCAGAGAGTACAGTAACACAGCACGGAGGAACAGGAACACCCCTTTCTGCAATATACAGAACACTGTTCTCAAAACAAGGGCTGAAGGGATGGAGTAGACAGTACACAAAAGTCAATTGAAATGAAGAGCAAAAAAAATGCAGTTTGTCTAATTATTATAGGCAAAGTATTTCTTAGTACTGATTAGTTGGATTTAAAATCTGTACAATGTTAGGCCATTGCAGAACAAAGTAATTTGAAGTAAATTATCTGTGGGAAGAGCTAGAACTTCTGGTATGTCATCATTCGTACCACGCATATAGGGATGAAAGCTGCTTAGAGGGTGGCACTCTGCTACTTTACAACACAGCAGACCAAAACGAAAAGTAAAGAACAATACATCTCACTAGAGAGCATGAACTACATTGGACTAGTTTTGTACAGATCACACAACAACCTGGCTCCAGATTATCAGCACTTGGTACCTACTTATACAGGAATAACATGAAGCATGACTGAAAAGTTCTGTAAGACTTGGGTCACTTCTTTATTCATTTTTAGAAATTCTCTAATTAATAAAAATGAAAATTTTGAGAAGCAGGAAAAAGCCTTACTTTGAAAGTCTTAGGAAGATAGAAGATTTGCAGATGGATATTGTGCATTCATACCTAGCATCTAGTTTTAAAAACTAAAAAACTCTAAAACTTGAGCCATCATATTGATCTCACAGAGCCAGAGAAGTAAAACCAAGTTCAGGACTCTGCAACACCCTAACCACCCTGTAGTGCAGGAGCACTATCATGGCAAATGTTTTACATTTATTTATATGAAAACACTAAGTTCTAGCAACGGAGAAGAACACCCTGCACTGACCTTAGTGCCACACGGTACTTCTGTCCCAGCTTCTCGATTTCACCCATTACACAATCTGTGATACATGGAATACCTACGTGCAAAAAAAGCCTGTATTAAAACAAAGCAGCATTTATTCACAGACTCCCACATATTGCCCGTATACCCAGGAATCATCGTGGAACTCCGTAACACATTACTTATAGTGAGAACTGATAAGGTTGCAAAGTGATGAAATATAGAGCCACTGATTGTGACCATGCCAAGGACAAATTTTAGATTTTTAAGTTACTAATGCTCTACCTTTGTAGAGATTAACATTTAAGACCACTGTTTGACTGAAAACAGAGATGGTTCCAGGGTTACCATAGCCATAAACAATTAGCTCAATGATAGAACATCTTTTTTTTCAAGACTTCTGTTATTCTCAGCAGTGGCATGAAGCTGACACAGCACATTACGAGCACACTGTGGCACTATGTGGTCAGAAGAAGCTGCAAGTGGTGCAGACACTTACACTTGGCATAGAGACAGTCCATCATTGACTGCACTAGGTCTAGCTTGGCCTTGATGGAGAAGTTGATGAAGTTAGTGTCAACCAGGATGTGATAAGGGGGGCCCAGCTGTGTATTATACTGGAAGAACAAGCAAGAGGGATGCTGGGGGCTGCCAGGAAGACAAAGAATTCAAATCAGTTAATTGCAATTAACAACATGTCCATTCCTACCTCTCACACAGAAGGAAAGAAGGGCAATGAGCAGAAAGACGCATCGGGTCTCCTGCTGCCTCCCAAGCCAAATCCCTCGGTTTGGGGCACCATTTCCCACTCTTTTTTGCTCAGAAACACCCTTGGTTATAGCTTGCAGCGTGGCCAGCTCTCCCTTCTTCAGTCCCTTCCCAAAGCATCGGCAGCACTTACACCTCCCGTTCTTTGATGGCACTCGGGTCCTCTTTCTTCTTCGCGGGGGCTTTCGCCCGGTCCTTCTCC